CGTTCCTTCCCTTTCATTCTCCCAACTGTGGAGGTTCCGGTGTAACGTGACAGAGCGTCCCCCAAAACAGAGTCCGCTTCCCATTCATTTGTAAAGGTGAGCCTCGCACTAGATTTTGACCCACACCATCAGACTAACCCTAACCATTATAACTATGTGGAGGGCGGACTTTCTGTTACGCGGACCCTCAGTTTCGTTACACCGGTACTAATAACAACCAGCTGACTGTGTGCGTGCGTGTTATCGTGGTAAAATATAACAGAACACAAAAGGTAAAATATATCTAGTGGGTTTGTATTATTAAATTTGACAAATTACAACGGGTTTTTCTCTCGTTGGAAAGAGACATTGGGTTTGGTTCAAAAGCAAAGATGATATTTGCGTTTGATATGTGTGGAACTCATTTCGCTACAACAAAGAATCGCCGTCTTACCCACTACGCTACTGATTCCACTCGAAGTTGGTTTTACTTCTTTAGTCTCCCAAGTAATTTTAATAAATGTTCTTTTCCCATTCCAAAGAGAGCTGAAAGTAACATATTCCATTTCTCTTTGCACATTTTAGGATCATAGTTTGCCTTTTCCCCGTCTGCTCTATATCGGCCTGTTTGAGTAGTGCGTTTCAGCGTTTAACTTAGACAAGAACACACGCTTATGGTTCAAACAAATCATCCCAGGCGGTGTACCCTATCCTTGTGATATACGAATACAATGTGCATATGACAAAAAATAAAAGATCCGGCAAACGACGTTTAATAAATGGACAAATCACATGTCACGGGAAATTAAAGAACGTGTCCAAAAACACAACAAAGTTAAGAAGTCAGTTCTGTTTAAAGTGAAATGAATTCTACATAAATACAGTAATTTTGCATAAAATAAAGAATCTAAATTTCAGAACGCGCAAAAGGTAAAATGTAATTTGTGCATTATTATTTTAACGAATTCTAACCGTTTTCCCTTGTGATAGGGCCTAAAGGGGATATGGTACATGTATTTGGTACAAAACAACAACGTTTTTTATCAAATGCTAAGATTCTTACAGACTATACTTAGTCTGAAGATGTTGAAAATACATGAAACATTGCACACTGCTTCTTTGTCCAATTTATTTTACATTTTAACTGCAAATTGTCAAAACGTCTGATTGATTGTACCCTTCCAGTATGTGGCTCATAGTACTTGTACATGCACTGGATGTCTTTTTGTAGCCATTTTCGATGATCAAAGTCCTTCAGATGAAAGAACCTAGATACTTTTCATACCACATACCTATTATTTATATTTGTTTGATAATCATTTTTTTCCTTTGAAGAAATTAACATAAAATATAGACATAATAATTTTTTTACAAATTAAGTTATTCTTGGATTTTATAGGCAAAGTTAGCATAACAAAAACAAACAAAGTGTGACATTTGAATATACCCTATGAAACTTCTGAGCTTTTAAGTCAACTAAATCACTGAGACAGATATTTCAAACCTGAAGATTGTTCTAAGTATTATATATTTTCTTCTGTTTCCCGACCTATGATTCATTTCAATTAAAACCTTTTCTACCTTTAAGGCATCAATATACTGTGCTATTCTGGTAATCTGTATATGAGTAAAATAAATAACACAAAATGAATTGACACAAATTAACTCCTAATGATGTGAAAAGAAATAATGAAATAAAATCTTATGATGAAATAAAACCCAAGATGGTAGCAATTAAAACATGGATTGCCATTCTCCCATCTTATAACAAAACATACCAAAACAAAAACTTGAAGAAATCAAATATATTCCACATCAAGAACTATCAAATGAATGCTAATCAAATGGGGTCCAAATTTAATGATATTATATGATAAACATTGTTGAGACACCAAGAAATGACAATAAAATTTAAAAACTTATATAATCTTTAAGAAATAAGAAAAAAAAGTGAGATGTTGAATAAGTAAATTTAGCAGGTAAGATTAATCGATAGTGGTATGAATCATAGCTGATGAAAAAAAAAAAGTAGATGTGTACTCCTGCTTCTGCAGGATTCTGATCAACAGAAACATTGAAAATAATATACATCTTGTGTGTGGTGATAACAGAATACAGACCATGCATTTTTCACCATATACTGTTCATCACAAATTTGAGTAATTTAAGGATGATAATTTTGACTTGAAGAGTATTAAGAGGATTTTGAGCCCAAAACTTTTTCTTGATCAAACATTGAACACTGGCTACCAAGTTTCGTTCTACACTGTTCATACTTTTCAAATCATTCCTCGCTTCTGAAAGGAGCATGTTAGTGAAAAAAATGATAAATTTAGATTCTGAATCGACAGGAATACATTTAGAATTTTTGGGAATGCTTGAAATGACTTTCTAAATATGTTTATATTGAGCACTTCAAATAATGGAACTTTTGTATTATTATTGCTCAAATAACTCTAGTCTTGCCCAAAGAAACAATTATAATGGATGTCTCCCCTCCCATTGTATGCAATTCAATTATAATTAATACAAGTAAAAACGACTAAAAAATGGAGATCAAATATGACGATGACCAAGAAACCATATGATTTTGACTGAGCTTCCCTTACCCCCCATCCCCCTAACCATATGCACGTGCGCGCACGCGCACACACACACACACACACACATCTAGTCCTGTTGTAAATACACAGATTTCAACAGAACTCAGACTGGCCATTATTATTTCCATATTCATGAAATCAATCAATCAATGGACAATAGATATATAAGTTTCTACATGAAACCTAAATTTGACTTAGATATCAATTATCAAGGAAGAGAAGCCTGTCACCATTGAATTTTCATTGTCATCAAATCTATCTTTACATTGGAACTGGTTTTTCGCAGCATCAGTCCCTTGGTTATCTCTTAATCAAGTCCTGCTCACCTAGTAAGCTAGTTTTCCCAACCTTTTTTTGCGATGCTTAGCAGCACAACACACACACAACACACACTTGCATCCACAAAACCCATGAACATTAATTTTTGTGACGACATTCGCTGTTTCTATTAATTTAAAAGGATAATTCTTCATTCCTTTGTATAAGATACCATGTGGATCATTTTATAGTTTTGCGGTATATGAACAATTATGCAACATATGACGAATACTGTCTTGAGGTTCAATGGGTAAAAACTGCTTATTCCTTCATAAACATACTATATAATATCTGTGTATATGAAGATCCTAAAAACATTTTTTCTGGAAGCCATGCCTTAACAAGTTAAAATAGATTAATAATAAAAGTTATCAAGAATAAGTAGACTAGACAGTTCACTTCATCTTCTTGTTCTGAACTAAAAAAAAGTTTAAAGAAAAAGAAAATGGCACCAAATTGATTGGAAATCTGCAATACTCCATTCAGTGGGAATCAGGTCTTTGTTGACTTTTTTCTTCATGGAGGACAAGTGGGGATTTTCCTCTAGGAGAGCGATGCATCAAGTTTCCCAATCTTGGGACGCTCTCTCCACTGCTGAACCTCTTCCTGCTCTGATCTTGCTTTTCTTTGGTGATTATTGCAACCTCCGTATCAGAATCATCGTACGTGCCACCTTCAAAGTTATTTTTGTTCCCATCCTGCCCAGAATGAAGAGTGTGTGGAATATTCTGCATCAAATCCGGCAGAGAAATACCTGCTTGGGATATCTTCTCTGGGGGGATCAGCGCCTTCAGTTTAGCCACTGTGTTAAGTAAAGCAGTCCGTTCAAGCTCTAGGGTTTTCAAATGGGACTTCAGCCTGTTATGGCTGCCCTGAAGATTGCCGAGAGTGACCTCTAGTGTGTGGTTCTGATTGTGAGCTGTCTGGAGCTGTTCCAGCATCTGCATGTTTTGTCGTTTGAGACTCTGGTTGGCTTGTTCCAGTCTCTCAATGTCCATGTTCCCTTGCTGCGGTGACCACAACATTTCCTCTTGCAGGACGTGGTACTCTACCTCATAGGAATTCAACTGTTGGGAGATGTCAAGGTTGAACACCTGAGGACAAAGAATTTGACACATGAAATATGTGCTATAGTAAGTAAGAGCTGGAAACACAATCAGAAGCCAAAATACATTCCCTGTCATATACATTCCCTGTCGTATACATTCCCTGTCGTAACATATATTAAAACTCATGGAGTTTTGGGTTATTTTCATGATTGCTGGTGTAGATTTATGTATTTTACTGGAAAGGAACAGGGTGAGATAAGGGGAACATTTTTCGCAGGTCTCAAAGAAAACCCCATCCTGCTATATATCAATATGGGTCTGTAGTGGAGAAAGTAATATGAGGTGAATGTTTTGCTTGCAAATTAAATAATTTGCCACAGCCAAAAGATAATTCTAAAGAAAAATAATGAACATAATATTACACATTCATAATTTTTTGATATCCCACCCATAATCTGGAAGTTAACAAGACGAGGAAAAAAACAAGGACAGACTGAGTACCTGATTGATGACTCTCTCCATCTGTATCATACTCATCTCAGGTAGGGTGGTCTTCAGACATTCCACGATGGTCTCAAAGCTGCTGCACTGCAGAACCAGCTCCTTATGGCTCCCCAGTAACACTAGCGCCACCTTGAAGATCACCTCCATACCCTGCAGGAATATCAGGTCTGGAAGAAAACACCAAGACTGATGCAGACCGTGCATGAATATGTTAATAATACTCCTCCCCATGTTTTTAACATACTTGAATCATCACCACCTACTCTGTTTTCTATTCAATGCCAGGAGGAGGTGTGTAAGTCTGTTAATCTGACTGCATTCAGCATGAGTCCCCCAGGAGTTAGTGTGCACTAGCTGGTGCGACCTAACTCATTGGCACTGGTGCCTATGAGTAGGGTCCCCTCCACTCTTGCTAAGATGGGAAGTATAGCATATGTCACCAGATGACAATGTTTCACTACAGACCAGTATCTTAACTAAAGTTTATGTTTTTTGAAAATAAGCCTAACAAAAAATTAATGCACTTAACTGATTTGGAATAAGATTAAATAGGTCAACTTAATTATGCCATGTTATTCTAATATTTGTGTATGTGATGTACAATATAATTCTAATCATCGGGTGCATACACATGCATATTAAGCTAAACTGTACAATAAGAATACATCTACAATATATAACTGAGGTATTTACCAAACACTCTGGCAACAAATCCCAGTGGAAACTGTGAGGCAAACAGAGTCAGGAACCAAGGGGCAGCATAGAGAGTGGGGTGGATCTCGTTTTCCTCAAAATGCTCATATAGCTCCTTGTAGTGGTCGTGCAACAAACGCTGAAGTTGATACATTTGAATCTGGAAAACAAAGAACATTCATCCAACTAAATTAAATTTAAAGGCACAATTTTGAATTAAATGCTTAAGAATGCACAGATTTTTATGCCAAATATCTAGTCAACTCTCACAAATGAGTATGCAGCTTGTTTTGTAATATATATATATATATATATATATATATATATATATATATAGAGAGAGAGAGAGAGAGAGAGAGAGAGAGAGAGAGAGAGTAAGGATTTTATCTAAAGTATATGATTTGTCATATACTTTAGATAAAATCCTTACTCTCTCTCTCTCTCTCTCTCTCTCTCTCTATATATATATATATATATACTACTTACTAAATATACTACTATATGTAGTATACAAAGTATTTAATATCAAATTCTCTACACCAGCAGTAAACACAGGTGTTTCATAAACTATTTTATATACCTGCCTCCTACCCCCATGTCTTAACATCCCTCCTTACCTGTAGTGAGGTCATGTCTGGCCTGTACTGTCTTCTGAACCCCATGTAGAACATCATGTAGATAAGAGTATCAAATGCCTCCTCTTCTGGCATCTGAGGGAGAAAATGAAACATTTATGAAATTTCAGTATCATTTACAGACACTGACCATCAGAGGTTCAATCAGGATTCTGAAAAAAGAAGTATAATTTCCTTTTTTACAGGCTGTCTAGTTTCCACGTTCCAATAAATAAAAATTTGGTAAAAAAAAAAACTGAAAAAGAGAGTCAAAAACACAGCTGAATGGTTTCCTGAGTAGTGCCGTGCCCACTATGCAAATACAATAAAAAACACAATTTTACATGCGGATGGCCTAACATGCATCAACAAGATCCCAGTCATGTGGCTGATTAACAGGCTTCTAGTCTAAGCTGATCTCTGACTCCAATTACGAGACAGCCTTGAATAAACCAAGCAGCAACAATGATAGAGTGACTGCAAAGTACGTGTACTTACATGCATTAACAAGATGCCAGCCACAAAGCTGAGTCCTTGGCAGTAGCCGACCTCTGTGTCCAGCAGTGAGTATGCCTTGAGCAAGTTGAAGAGGGACAGTTGACCCACGCCCAGTGGAGTGGTGAAGTATTCGTGTGTGGGAAATGTACGACCTGGAGCAAAAAACACATGGTTTATAGACATGATTCTGGTAGTCAGAAAGTTTTCATTTATGATAGATCCAGAAATTTGAATTTTCATGTTGACTGTTTCAAGATAGTTGTGACCAAGTCTGTCAGAGTGAACAGACGAAACAGTCAACAGGTAAATCAAATATATGGATCTATCATAAATGAAAACTTTCTGACTATCAAAAACTGAGATCCAACGAAACTATTTTCACAGACATGACTCTAATGGACTGAGAAATATAAATATGTCATCAGTAGATGCTGAAGTTAACTATTTTACATGCTGTGTAAAATGTGTCTTTTATGTTCCACTGAATTATAAAAGTCAGTTTACAATGACATGAATGCTGTTAAGTCGTATGCCTACAAACATACACAACCACAAATATTTACCCATTAGCACTGCAAGCTCCTTTTGATAACCTATAGCAACCAAATTAATTTTGACACACCACATTTTCTATTGGGGCCTGAGGTATTGATATTTTTCTCAGTTTTTATTACTCGATTTAATACAGTGAAGTTTATTCAAAATATTTGGATTTTGGACTCTAAATTATTATTATTATTACTATTACAATATCATTTGTATATCCCACCTAAGTCAATGAGTATTGCATGTTGGTGCGTGGTCAGCTGGCGCAGTAAGTCTTGGTACGGCGTCTCCAGCTCAACATTGGGGAACTTCATCTTCAGCACCCCCGGATGGTGCAAGCGGTGCTGTGCCACCAGTAACCTCCAAATGGCACCCCGCTTGGGTCGTGGGATTCCTGCCGGAGAAGAGAGGAAAATTATTACCAAGATGTTCATGGTTTCAACTAGCAGAGATCACACAATTAAATGTAGATGAAAGTGTGCCAATCACTTATAGGCAGCCAACCAAAACGAACAGACTAACAAGTCCAATTTGTAAGATTTAGTCTAAGAGCTACATTCGATATAAAAATAATTTAAAAATAAAGTTATATCATCTCAAAGTGACATGTCCAAGGTTAATATACAACATTTTCACAATCATTATGTAGAAAATAATAAACTTTTGGATAAAACTTCAATTTTAAAATTAAGTTACAACAAATACACTCTTTTCAAGATAAATTATGCAAAATTATAACTATAAATAAAATCATAACGCTTCAAAAGTATCAATCAAAAACAAAATATTTCCAGTTCTAACACAATGCTGTGATAAAGCAAACATATTCACCTCTCTTCACTGCATCCAGCAGCTGATCAGCGTCAAATTTGTCCCCCGTCATCTGTTCCATCGTTCCCAGCATGCTCTCCCACTCCTTGGACACTGCTTTAAGACACGGCGTAATCTCCTTGTAGTCCAGCCTCTGACGCTTGTCTTGAACTGCGTCCTGGCGGGCTACGGCGAGGAGAGAACAAGCTGAAGTTAACCGTTTTATTTTCTTCATTTAAGATTCTAGTACCTTGAGAAACCTTTTTAGAAAGAAATGTGCAGCTAATCTGATGTAAAATTCCAAAAGCATATTACACATCAACTTAAAACACAGCTTAGACTAATTTCAAACTATGAACATCTTATTGCAGCAACAGCTTGAGATCAAATCACTGGTTAGCATCCCATGTCTTTCATACCAATAAATATAGTACCACGGAAGTAATGAAATCATTCTTAATGGTCCTCCACTTCACTTCCAGTGATAACAAAATTGACAGAACCACTCAAGTTGTGTTACAATCAAGTTCCCCTAGGGCTCAACATTTGTCTTAATAAATCAGTGTCAGTTAAAGTAATTTACTCAAAGTGTCTTCCTTTGGTTTCATAGTCTAAAAGACTATGGCTCCATCTACTGTCAAATAAGGGCAGTGACAGTAACAGCAAATATGGGCATATACAGAGCAGGCAGAACTTAGAATAGTCTGATTTCTGGTTTATGTGGAATGATTTGAGAAAGCATTATTATACCATATACACATAATAAACCTGTACCTACATACATACATGCTATGAGATCATGCTGTTAATGTGACTATACACAATGTCTTGATGCCACATGCATGTTACAACACACTGCCTGAGAAAATGTTGATAAGATACACTCATGCTGGTGCTACAAAAATGAAACTTATAAACACAATCAAAGTTTTCCCTCCTACCAAAAAAAAAAAAAAATTATAATAAAAAAAAAATAATAATAATAATAATAATAAATAAATAAATAAATAAATAAATAAAATAAAAAATACTATCCAGAAACCAAAATGAAAATAGTATCAATGGTCTATGTGGTACATGTTGTGTTATTTTGAAAAAAAAATTAAGGTATATCACAGCAAAGCAAATGTTTCCAATAACCAAATTATCTAAATGTTAAATTATCTTTTTTTTCATGAAGGAAATTTGTTAGCTGATACAAAAATTGTTAAACTTTGCTTTTTACACTCTGTTCCTTGTAAAGCACTCAAAACAATATATATCAAATAAACATAACAATTAAAGAAATAAAGATAAACTAGCTAACAAAACAGGGGGCATGACCTTCAAATACAGAGACAAATATATGGCATAAAACAGGAACTATAAACAACGAAAAAAAAAAAAAAACAACGATGAAAAGTAGTCAGTATATCTAAGATGTGCAATTTCCCTCTATGTCCCCATAAAATAATAAATAAAACATTCTTTGGTCAACTTAAGCAAGGAAGGTGTCTAAAGGAGGGATGGAGTGACTGGATTTGAAAGATTACCTGACAAAAAGATATTAGAACATGGGATCAAAAACAAGAAGTATTGCTAAAAAACTGCACACAGCAAGAAAAAACTAACAGCATCAAACTAGTTTAAAACAAAACAAAATGGCACCAATATAATACATTTTTAAACCAGGAATGTTGTGTTCTTGGAAATGCATTTTCCAATTTCTTTAATCTGTGCCTTTAAAACAGTCAAAGAAACAAACAGATAGGATTGTGTTGTCATGCTCAACATTCCATAACCAAACATGTAATCCAAGCAGAGCCTGAACACATAGTACTTATCAGCAAACCCACTACAACACTCAGCCAAAATACGAATCCTGCCACCAAACTTTAAACCAAATGTGTGAGCTATTACCCTGAAAAACTGACTGTAAAATTATCCACAGATTTCTTTGGAAATTTGAAAAAAGAAAGAACTGCTTCTTAAAAAAAAAAAGAATCGAATGCAGCCTAAATCAAGGGCAGATGGAGGCAGTCTTCTGGGTCTTCCGGAAGGAGGTCAAGAATCTTTACATTGACGAGAATCTAATTTTTTCTGTCGGAAGACGGTCAAACAAATGTAATTTGGAAAACTATCAGAAAATATCTCTAGATCTGCCCATGTAAATGATTAAATATTCTAAAATATTCTCAAAGAAATAGAAGTTCTATGTTCAAATTTAGCTCATTAACTAAAGGTAACTGATTTTTTTTCAGGGTACCAGCTGTCACTAGTAAGAATGGGAAAATAAACACCACACATATTTTGAGAAAATTATCCTGACTAGTAAATATGTCTCACCTGGAAATGTCACCACTAATTTTTCTCCGTAGATTATAAATGAACCTAGGGATTCAAATCAACATTAGAATGGAACTGAATAAAAGAGAACTAAATACCAGACAGCAATGAAACAAAAATAAACTAAATTAAAATTCTGATTAAAAATTCAAATGGAGAGGGTTATATTCAAGGTCGTGGCTATTATTAGTACTGTGGTTTCCCTTTATATGGTTATAATTAAGTTAAGAGGAGAGATATATACATGTAAGTGAAAAGCGAAAGAAGATTATTGTGGACATATAGAAGTTAACCTCTGCCAGATCCAATACACTCACTGCACCGGATCTTGGATCAGAATTTTGTATTTCAAATTAAACACCAAACATTTAGCAAAATAGTTTTTAAGATCATTCTTGACTTTCTTTTATTACTTATTTAGCCATACCCTCAATTCTTTACATGAAAAGTGAACTGAAAACTTTGTGATAGCTCTAAGTTCTGTTTTCAGTCTGACAGTATTTCCTGAGCTATTGCAAGGTTTTTCATCTTCCAAAAAAATTTACAACATTTTCAGGTTAATAAACTACTCTTACCTACAGTAGTTAATAAAACATAATACCACTATAAAAGGTTTGTGCAATGCACGCACACACGCACACACACACACACATATTTCCTTCACGTCCATTCTACTCTCAGTCTATACCAATACAACTAAATAATACTGAAATGACTGTTATCATGACTGCCTGTAAACAAGTGCCAAATAAAGCCATTTTATCTCTCAAAATCAAGAGGTGTGGAATTCCTTAACGACATTACAGCAGTCAATTCTTAGGAACATAGAGCAATTGGAAGACTTCAAAAATCCGAGTCCCTCTAACAGATATTACTGTTATGATTTTAAATATAAGCAAAATAAATATGATTTTAAATATGATTTTAAATATAAAGTAAATTCTGATAACAGCATAACTTTACATGCCTGACATATCTATTTTGCATAGAGTATAAGTTGGTGATATAGATTAATACGTAGTTTGTCTATGGATTAAACACTGCTATATCACTTATTGTATGTGTTACTTAGTCTAGCTATGTTGATTATAGTACTCTATGTGTAGGTTAAGATTTAGAAGACTTGCCAGTTATGGTGCTTTGGTGATAATTGATATAGACATTCATTTTGAACTTGTTCAGTGTGCTGAGAAAATTATGTTAACATGCTGAAATTTGTAAAAAGGTTATGATATACATGTACATACAGTTACTTATCAATAAAAGCTGGATTAATATGAAAATATCATGCAATATATATATCTAAGCAAAATTAACTTTTAATATTACATATATAAAAAAATAAAAAATATATAAAAATATCCATAAAACCTGCTTTCCATATATTGGGTAATTTCCCTTCCACTTCATAATATAAAAATAAAAAAATTAAGATAAAGAATTTAAGCTGCTAAAACCCAATGTTTCCCCTGCCCATATGCTACATATTTTGTTGCAATCTATTGGTTTTTTGTACCCATGATACTTTCCTTTTCAAATGTGAACCTACCCTGTAAATTCCTGTTTTCTTTCTCCATGCGAATAAGCAACAAAGTTTCCATGATTGCTTTCTTCCAGAGAGCTCGGATTGCTGATGAAGATTTCTTTTTCTGAGTAGCCTCATCTTCAAGTATTGCATTCTCATCGATTGTGTCCACTGAAATATACGAGGAGGTGGTTCATATTTGGTGGCATTGTCAATGGCAACAGGTACCACTGAAAGAGATACCATGGTAGCAGGTATCATGGCAACAGATACCATGGTAACATGGTAATAATAACTCTACAATGCTTCTATTACTAAACATAAGATATATTTCAAGGACAACCAGACTCTGAGGCTGAGTTACAGAAACTAGGTTGTAAGTAGCACTGCTTTTTACATCAATTACCCAAATATCATCAAATTCAAGAAGGCCATTTTTGTTATAATACATATTTCATAACCATATGCATGATACTACTTTAATTTTCTACCTCTGATAACAAATAGATAGGTACATATGCTTCAACTTCAAGATTTCACTCTGTATGAATAACTTAAGTATAAGATAACAAATGATTAAAAGATCTAGTATCTGTTGCTCAAGGGGGGAGGGGGCTTAAGATTCTATCTTGTGTATAAAACTCTTTGATACTGAAGAACCTGTGTTCTGATTCATGGTTTGACAAATAGTGTATGTGCTATCAAAGCTGTTACCATGTATGGACTTCCTGCTGGACTTGCTGGTGGGGGTGACCACGCTGTGGAAGATGGCCTGTCTCCAGGACCCTCGTCTCTGTATGGGCGTCTTGGGGGTCTGAGGTTCCCCGGCACCATGGCTGTCCTGGGACTGGGTCGTGGACTGACTGCCTTGCTGTTGGGCATGGTGAAACCTAACAGATACAGGAATACAGATACACCTTGTCCATTTTAATAGTTTTTTTTTAAAATATATTGAAGCAATTACAATGTTTATTAAACTGTCTTCAGTCTCATTTCTGCAAATAAAATGTCTTTGCTCTTATCATTTTTCTTCCTTATAATTCCACATTGATGGTATGACTGTATTGTTAGAATGTTAACCCCTTGTGCTTATAATTCCACATTGATGGTATGACTGTATTGTTAGAATGTTAACCCCTTGTGCTGCAGGGGGTTCCTGGCTGGTCAAGTCAAAGACAATCATAAAACTGGCTGCAATCAATATATCACCCTACCTTGAGGTGTAAGTTTAAAGAACTCGGAGCTAGTAAAAAAAGATGGTCTTATGACTGAGGTTGACAGTGCCACTGAAGGCAGCAAATCTAAACAAAAAACAAATAAATGAATAAAAAATAAAAAAATTAAAAAAAAAAGTTGCCACATAACTAATCTACACTAATAATTAAAGATTTGTTTAAACATTCTTAGATGTGGCTTAAATGCGCATTTCCCTCTGTAACCTCAACTCACATGCTCCTCCTCCTGGGAGTAGACACCTTAACACATTCCTGGTGATCCTTCTTCCCGTGCATGCTCGTATGGAGGGTCTTCAGCTCCGTCTGCTGCTCCGCAGTCAAGTTGGCTCCGACAGTGGAACTCCGTGGTCTCCGCTGTGATGCTGCAGACCCCCTGGGGGAGTCTCCACCTGCCCATGGGAGGTCCTTGAATTCTTTGGTCATGGGGGAGGAGCAGGGGGTGGTATCTGGGGTGCTGCTCACAGAGGAGTCCTGGGGGGAGGAAAAAGGGAAAATATAATATTATAAAATCAATGAACTGTGAGGGTTCCTATAGACAGGTTACCTGTTACAGTAGGTCAGTAAGCCATGAGATGGTGTCTGCAGTATTTCATTTTGTTTACTGCTTACAGGCTGAAAGAGGATAATATTCTAAATCTGCTTGACAATTGAAGTCAATATCATTTTAATATGCTGATGAATAACTTATTAATTAAACTTTAAGTACAAGAAAATACGCAATTACAAGTTCTAATTTCTGTTGCTCTAGGGGGGAGGGGAGAGCTTGATATGCTGTATCTGATGTACAAAAATATTTTCTACAGTTACTGAGGAACTTTTATCACTGTATAATATATTATCAATTTATTTCAAAAATAATGACTGCAAACACAAAAACACTTAAACCATAAGTATTTGTCACACAGGCAGAACCCTTGTTCTCTGAACTATCAAGGTGTCTGATAACATAAGATCTTGAACATAAGATTTACTACACATAAATTATACCATATAAATGTGGAACTTTGTGTATGATATGTAAAAACAATTAGAAATGACACTGATGACACTGTCAATTCTAAAAAAATATATATATAAATGAATTACAGATAATGAAATAAATACATAAATAATTTAAACTAAATAATGACAATTATGAACATCAAGATAACATCTTTGATATATGCACTTAGTTAACACTTCCCCACATACTATCCGAACCGAGGGTGGAAATGTTTTACTTACTGGTGTAGACGTTGCACCTGAACTGTCCAAGTCCAAGGAGGTCCAGCTTCTTTCTCGTCCATTAGCTGGCTGCTCAGGGGGAGCTTTCAATTTATTCTGTGAATGATAACAATTGCAAGCGCAGGGTTCACTAGCACAGCTAAGCACCATGGAAATCTATGCCATCTGAACTTTTGCATTCCATGTTTATGATAAATCACTGCTACTTACTTTTTTTTTTTTTTGTATTTCAGAAGGGAAGGGTAAGAAAATGCTTGTTGAAATTTTTTTCTTAGTTTTTTATGGAGGGATTGTAAATATCAGGGTCATAATCATAAACTTAGCAGTAAAAATTCAGACTTTGCCACTGACCATTTTATACATCTATCTGCTCATCTCTGAACATTTCCTACACATAGAAAATAATAATTTTGTCATCACTAATAAAATTAGATTAATATTTTGAAATCAAAATCTGTTTGCATCAAACAGAAAATATGATAAAATCAAAAACCAAATAAAGATAATCAATTGCTATTCAAGCATAATTTAAGTTAAACATACAATAATTTATACAATAAACAACCACAAGGCAGCAACGGACAAACAGAAACGACCAGCACAACAGCTACTCCATTTTAAAATTGAAATAAATCACAATTATTCCACTGAACTTCTTCAGTGACAACTGAAATTTCTAACACAAGTTGGCCAACATCTGACACATACCACAACAAAACTCACAGATAACAGAATTTCATACTGCCCTCTACTCACCCTGATTAAAATGTCAAATGAACTGGCTAGTGACTTCTTAGCTTTGGACTTAAACATCTCCAGCTCAAACCTGGCCTTGTTCTTGTTGTCTACTAGGTTAAACTTAAATATAGATACAACATACGCCAGTTACCATTAGGGACCTAATCCAGATATAAATATTTCAAGTTTTTTTTTTATTTCCCTAGAAAAAAAATGGTTTCGATTTGTGATTTTGAAACTTCAGCAAAGCTCTGTGGCTTTCTAATTTCACTACATATGCATAATTATGTAAAATGCAGAATAGATTCTATTTGACATAAATAGCATCATGGACAAAGAAATCAACTAATTTCCTTTTTTTTTATTGTTTTGCTACTGATCATATCGTCAATTCTACCTCATCACCAAGGCAGGGTCTGGCAAGCAATCTACGCACAAACAACAAATGATAAACCAGTCCTTACTTCCTGCTTCACACCACCGCCACCACCCCCACTCTTGCCAGTGTCACTGATGTGGACATGCTCCCTCTGCTTCACCTCACACAGTTGCCGTAGCAACATCATCAACACCTCGTTCATTTCCTGGTAGCCGGATGGATCCTCTGCCTGGTATGAGACAAGTCGTTATATTATATGGTTCAGTTGAACAACAAAATAATATACTCAGACATGATTTGGGTTATAAAAAAAAAAAAAAAAAAAAAAAAAAAAAAAAAAAAGGGGGCGGAAATGGCTTTGTGGCCCTACAGTTAGGTGCAGCGAAATAAAATTTTTCATTATTTCAAAGTTCACACAATTTTTATCAATTATTTCCAGAGTCTACAGAGATGATGATCAAACACTGAACAGAATACCAAGATCTGTACATTCTTGGAGACAGCTAGCATGGAGATTGAGCCAATACCTTGAACTTTGCTATAATGTCTTCCCTCTCCACCTCTGGGAGAGCATCAACCCTGCTGTAGATAAGAGCAAAGGCTTTCTGAGGCAGTAATCCTGGAACACAGACATCAATTTTATTATAAATCTTCAATGAGGATAAATGGGTTAAAGCATATCTTTACTAAATCTTCCAATAACCATGCACCATCTTTTTCATTTAGGTACTGAGAAATTAGCCTGCTTGAAATTGGAAATGTGAATTAGAAAAATCTTGATGAATGCACTGGCAAAGAAACATTAACTGTGTATGTTATTTTATAATTTCCAGACGGGGTGCTGGCAATAAAGGGCCATAGTGTTTCAGTGTTATTTTCTACCCCCTCCATTCCTTCTCCCCTATTCAAACAAGTACACACATGCATGCATTTTCTCTCTCTCTCTCTCTCTCTCTCTCTCTCTCTCTCTGAGAGAGAGAGAGAGAGAGAGAGAGAGAGAGAGAGAGAGAGAGAGAGAGAGAGAGAGAGAGAGAGAGAGAGAGAGAGAGAGAGAGAGAGAGAGAAACTTGTAAGAAGACAGAATTGTTTGCCACATTGGGGGGTGCCACAGCTTTATTCTGTCTGTGTAATCCAGTGCTCACCTTCTACTTGTTGGCACAACTTGTGGAGCTGGTGCATGGGGCACTGCTCACACACCACGTGGTTCTTGGCACTTTGTTGAAATGCATTGTGGAAAGAACGCTTTAGATTCTTCATGATTTCATCCACCTACAACCAAGATATTATTTAATACTTTATAGAATGAAAGTTCTGAAAGGAGCTGCAGTTTTGCCAACACATCTTTTTTATAACATTTACTATATAAATTACAGCTTCCCCTTAAAAACATTGTCATTATCATTTCCCCCCCCCCAAAAAAAAAAAGGTCACAATTTTTAAAGAATAATCCCATTATGCTGAGTCTTGAATTCTACCAAACAAAGCCACCCAGAAAATTTAACGTGATTAACAGTGATGACACAGACAGACACAGTGATCAGAATATATACTAACAGAAACAAAAGCTGACCTAGACAATGATAAGGTATCAGACAAGTATCATTTGCAACACAATACATCTGTTGAATGATAATGGAGGAAAGTTCACAAGTAGAAGTAATACTTGCCACTGACTCTGCGGCACATCTGAACACATAACACATGAAGCCGCCGCACGGTTCTCTGGAGATGAAACCAAAATGGTCCACTTCTCTCACACCCTGGAAAAAAATTACTCTTAATATTTTTTTTTTACTTGAGGATTTAATTTACAAAACCAAAAAATACCTTATTTAAAACATTAACAAAAGAGCATCACCAGTAATTGCACACAAGCTATACCATAAACATTGTACTCACACTTTCAAGCTTTTTAGTGCAAACCAATTTCTTATGGGAAATCATTCACAGAAATCATTCATAGAAATTATAATTGCAACAATTTCCCCAGGGAAAGAAACAAACCTGTGAGACAAATGAAATGTCCTTAAATTTCCTTTCCAGACTGACAGTTTTCTTGTCAGGGCTGATGAGACAGATTTCGTCGAAAGCAATCTGGAACAACATAGTTCTGTTATGCTCCCCGGGAGTGGGCAGATGACTCTGACCAATCAGAACACTTTTCATGAGGTTTTTGGAATCTTTGTGATGTTTGTCGTCTGACGCTGTGTGATTTACTAAAGACTGCGTTTCTGTCGCAGAGGAGTCTTTCAAGGAGTCGTCAGATGACGAAACATGCTTGGCCAGTCTATCTTGTGAATTTTCCGCTGAACTGCTACTCGTCAGGAACACGTCCCCGCTATTGCTGCTACCAGTGCTATCAGTGCTGTTACCTCTTAATTTCTGTGCCTGTGAGGAAAGTTCATTTTCTTTAACTTGGACAGAATTTTCCAAGTTGACTGGAAGGCTATGGATACTTGTCCCACTACTGTGACGTTGTCTTTGTTCTTTCTCCTGGGCCAGTCTTTGTGAGCGTTCTGATTCTTTCTGCTTGAACATAAGCACTGTTTCGTCAATGAAAGATGCTGGGGCTTTCTTCTGGGCAACCGATAGCTTCCCTAAGTAAGAATATATAGAACCACATATGATATAACAACCATAATTCTGAAACAATAAATTGAAAATTTAATTTAAATGAGCTTATCTGCAAGAAAAAAATGCATAACATTTAGTTTCATATTAATTCTTTCCAAACAAAACAAGAGACACTATTTGTTGAGCATAAAGTGCAAAGAAAAAAAAGCTTCATCTGAATCCATCTGAATCGAGAATTCAGAAATTTAACCTTCTCAAAATCCATTTAAATTCAGAAATGAAATAATCCTAATAACTGAGCCGACTAACCTGAATAGAGCACCTCATAGAACTGGCACCCAGACCTCATGAGTTCCCCCATGTTATCCACAGGTCTGCCCTCCTTACTGTGCTGCTGATGGTGGATGTCCTTCACAACTTCTTTGGTGGCTTCTCTAATAGCTGTGAACAACTCTGGGACCTAAACAAAACACAGGTTCACAGTGTGAGTCATATTGCATATCACTGGCAATTGAACCCAGGTGATCTAGCCACTGATAAAATCTGTGACCAGACAGTCAAAGGTTGAGTTCACAATACATCTATCATACAACATCGATCCAACTCCCTAGGAACTGTCACTGAATGTAATCAGATTTAACTGAATGACATGCCTTTAATTTGTGTGGGCTCAGATTTTGGAAGCTTTTTCTTAAGTAAATAACCCTAAAGCTGCTTGAAAAGTCATGTCATTCAGTTAATCTGATTGAATGGACAGGTGTATCCGATCACTTTGTACCGGGTGACATTTTGGAACTTAGGTAACTGATAACATGTGATCAGACAGTTTATTACAATGAAGATCAATTTTACCTGACAACTTCAAACCTGTTAGTTTATCTCATTGTTGACTGCTACCACCAGAATATATTGTGTTATCTATTAGCTATATGTATTACTGGGGTAGCGCTAACACTCGCCAAATTAGCCAAATGCTAAAACTGGCCTTAATTGGCTAAAGAAAACGGACTTGATTTGACTTGTTTTAGTCAAATTATAACCATTTTGATAACAAATTGACAAAAAAGTGGTGATTTGGCTAAGCGAAAAAAAATGCTAGCGCTACCCCAGTATTATATATAACATAACCACCCCTTAATACAAAAATCTTGATCAGATATCACAGCTTATATAAATGAGCACTAACACTAAAAATCTGATAGTTCTTGCTAAATTAAAACTGAAATCACCTTACACTTTTCATTTTACTTCAAAGTGAACAACTGTCTAATCCAAGAAAACCAAAATTAGTCCATCCAAATCAAAGTTTTCATCAGTTCCCAGCTCAGACCTTGACCTTACCTTCTTACTTTGAGAATTGAACTGAACACAGCACAGAACATAAGTGTTGTAATTTTAAATTATTGTTTTTCTTTTTATCAAGAGCTTATAAAATATGTAGGTTTTACCTCCAATATTTCTGTGACTGTCAGTCACCGTCATCAGCTCTTTTATAAGCTCTTGATAAAAAGAAAAACAATAATTTGAAATTGATACATACAGAGCTAATGAAACTCTTCTCTCATAAGTGTTGTATATCTCAATCTTTTAGTGATTTATAACCAGCCCAGTCAACAACTTTATTCTAAATTTCTGATTGCCCTACACTGTTAACAACCAATCATACTCAGTTAAAAAAATTTACAAGCCGGATTTAAAACAGTCAGGCTAGGTTGTAATAAGTAACTTGCATTCATGGACATGAGCTTTGAATCAAGGTGTGCCTGGCTTTAGAATGGTTTAAATACATTGTGATCAGACCTAACCTCACGTCTTTCTGAAGAACAACAAGGTCCAATACACAACTTCCAAGAAATCAAATTTAAAACATTTCAGAACTGCTGCAAATTTGGAACTTTCATCCCTTCTGAACAGGATATAAAGCTCTGACAGGCTGGTTAATGATTAACCAATGTACATTTTTTCTTTACCTGTTTGCTTTAAGAGCTCTGTGGATTTAAAATCTGAAATCCTACACTTTGCATTGCTGCACAATATTACCATAGTTTCTATTAATGGAATTTGTAACTTTTAATATACTAAGGACCCCACTTTCCAGATAAACAGAATTTACTCAGCAATTTCGAATATATATCTTACTTTGTACATTAACTTAATATTTTTTCAAGGTGTATATTCCCCCCCCCCCCCAAAAAAAAAAAAAAACTTTCAGACTTGAATCCATTTTACCATTTAAATCCAAATAATTCCTATCAACTTTTCCAGACAAATTACTGAAATGACGCAAACACATGAAGGTAATTAAAAGGTTTTGTTCATATTTACCAAGCAATCACTGTATATGTACATTATGTTTACATCATATCTGTAGCTATAGCGCTAGTTGACAAATGCTATCAATTTCATATACAGACATATTTACAGATAAGTTTATTCATTTTAGTAAGGCTTTCATACTCTGTCTCAACTCAATCAAAATTGCACAGAAAAAAAGCCAGCATGTTCAATACAGGTGCATGCATTAAACAATGTACTTCAAAGAAGGGCTCTTTTTTCTTATAATTTTTTAACCCCTAGTAGACTCAAACTGAGAAAAGAGAATACTTTCGAACACCCCTTGCCTGTCAGGTGACTGATGGAAAATACCCCACTGGTTACGAGGGTTGCCCCCACCCCCTTCAACAGCTAGCACTCACCTTTCTCAGAATGGCTAAAATGTTTGGCATCATCAAATGCACCAGGAAGTTTTCCTATTTATATGGAAACCAACAATTTTTCATGATAGATAACAGCAGTTATATAGTTCTCAACTAGATGTCAGCTCAAAATGGATCCTGCAAACTCTGGTCATTGCTTTACTTTAAGTTTTGTGAAAGAAGATAGTCAGAGAATTGTTCATGTGTACTCTAACAGGAAATGAGTAAGCTCTGAGGAACTGTCCTTTTGTATAAAGGGGTTTCCTCTGAGTAAGAAAAGATGATGTTTCTGAAAGAGAAACTGGGCAGAAAATCATAGTGTGAATAAAAAATACCTTTTACTAGTGTGCAACCAACTGCAATTATTAAAACTTCCAGAAACAGTAGTTTTTATTTAGAAACACCCCTGAAGAGGAAGCTGACTAAAACATGGGTACACAGGTCATCAAACAATTCCTAACTACAAAGACTTGGGTCATATCACTTTCTCGTCCTGTTCATTCAGAAAAGGTCTTACGTACACTGGAAAACACTTCATATGACTTCTGCTTACTGAAAGGTCTGACTGCCTACAGGATTACAGGCAGGAAATGTTCAGGAGGTTATAAAAAAATCATCCTTTCGGACAAGGTCCACTCTGAATCCACCTTTGACCTCGGTTCTATGCCATTTTTCAGGTGAGGTCAACTACTGGGGTAAAAAGTAAATTTTAAGAAAAGAACCTTCCTTTTGAAATTGCTGGCTACAAGGATGGCTTACCATAGGGTTTTTAGGCCCAAAATGATAAGGGGAGCCCTGTGTCCCTAAGTCTGGTAGCACTAAGGCATTTGTGGTTTAAAAGCTTAAAACAAGTTTTTAATGCAATCAATGTGATCTACTGGCTAACCAAGATGTATAACATAAGCAAAGACAATGCGACCAATGCTAATGTTTATGGTTTACTCAATGACTTTTTTTTGTATTTCAAACAGATTTTTAAATGGATATTAAGTACAAAAATAGCTCAAGATTTTAAGTGAGAAAGGAAAAAACAACCCAAAAAGCACCATTATTGAAATCAGTAATACAGCATAACAGCCTAAACCCCTTGTGAGCTAATAGACATTGCATTATAATTTGCCATTGAAATAGCACAAAATTACCACATGCAATCTAATTCCAAAAGACATTTAATGTTCTGCCCTGTTATTTTTCCCTTTCTCTGAAAAAATGAAATCCACAGGGTATGAACAATCCACAAACAGCATCTAACTATCAATCAAGAGCAGAAGAAATATGGCACTCGATCAATATGTCCTTGATAATCAAAGGTCCAACATGAATACAAGCAGTTCCAAATGACACCCCAATTCCACTTTTCTTAGATGGGGTTCCCACAGATTTAGATCGATCCGTCTGGATTGACCTAACTCCCTGGGGGTTCACACTAAATTGTTGTCAGCCGAGTGTGCACGAAAAGTTAATTACCCCCTTATAGCATTTAGTACTAGGCAGGACAGACTTTTAAGCCGGCTAATCTGACAGGCAGATCGCAATCTAGTGAGACTCCCCACAGGGATAGATCAATTTAAAAACTGTGGGAACGCAGTCTTAGTTATCAAATTAGACCCACGACTGAATGAGAATACCTGGATATACATAGATTGTCAGAAGAATTGAAAAGATGCAGATATTGATTATCATTAATCTTACATTGATTCTGACAATGAAAGAGGAATGAGAAGAGGGTTATCAGATACCACAAGCAGGGGCCACAGTAGGTGGTGCAGATGCGTTACCTAATTTTGCCCGATTTCACTGTGACTTTGAAATAAATTATTGAACCAATGGAAATAAGTTCATGTTTCCTGTCAATTTGGACCCACTAGTATCAAACTCATTAATTTGAATATACTTATATACCTAACTCAGAAAAATTTGAACCTACCAGTACCTATATAACTTTGAACAATTTGGACCTATCAGTACCTATATAACTTTGAACAATTTGGACCTACCAGTACCTATATCACTCAGAACGATTTGGACCTACCAGTACCTATAAAACTCTGAACAATTCGGACCTACACCAATACCTAACTCTGGACAAATTGGATCCACTAGTTCCTAACTCTAAACAACTTGGACATACAGGTACCTAATCCTCAACAATTTAGACCTGCTAAATCCAAACAATATGGACCTACTAGAACAAAACTGAAAACCCCATCTGAGCTTTAGGACTGCATGTGATTAGATCACAGTATTATCACAAGTGCGACGAAGGACAAAGCTAAAAATAAAACATCCACTATCTTATTTTTTACTTTTCTTTCTGTGAGATTACGCCCTAATCTGGCACTCTACATATAGTCTCAAATCACTTCCTAATTATTAGGAAGTAAATAAATGATTGTTTCTTATTTTAATTTAGCCTTCAATTTGCATGGCTCTGAGTGAGTTACCAATGCAATCCAGCAAAATTCTTATTATATATAAATACATACATGTACATATTCTTCTCATAATTTAATCTTCACTGATGGTATAAAAATACACATTCTCTCCCTAGACAGCACGTGTGTATGGTTTGAACTTACTATTGTGTGCTAAACAAAAACTGAGGTTATGCAAACGTACAACTGAAGAATCACAAAACAAACAAACAAAAAAACAACATATTTTGAGGTCACAACCACATGTCGCAATATCGGGATTGCCTTACACACTACCACCATTACCAGGAATTTACTTTTTACCTGCATTAACTTATTTTTAACAGCAT